ACATAGTCTCATCACTCGGCGATTAACTGATTGTGCGTGGGTCCTAGAACGAATAATTGCAATCTGTATTGCCTCAACACTCGTCTGACGTGACATCGATCGAGAGGTGGGAAAGCCAATCAAGCCTGCAACAGGGCTTCCACTATGTTCTGACCGTCGAGATTTCGAGCGCGAGAGAGTCCCTTTTACCACCAATGGGGGCCACTGAGTATTCCTGAGGGAAGGGCTCAGTAACCATTTCATCGTGAACCGTGCCCTTTAACCACTTTAGCCATGAATGTTATCTTTTTTCAACGTGATCTGTAGTCATCTTGTCTGAAAATTTGTTGAGATGTGTTCTAGGACAGAATTTTTTTGAAGTGTGTTTACCCACGTCTCTGTGCCTTACCAGCACTTTAATACGGCAACAATCCTTTCAATTTTGAATAGAAATGAATCAATGGTCCATTGATGTTCAATTCATCTCTCATGCCAGCTTTTGGCATGAGGTAAGCATCATACCCCCCTCCGGTCACTTCCCCTTCTCAGGCCTGGGCAGGCGGTAACTTCCTTTCGCTAAGAAACCTTTGTAAGCACCATTACAGGCACGCCAATCCGACTACCCTCCTCTGCGCTCTAGCGCTCGATGCCAGGGAAGAGAGGTGTCTCCTTCCCAACTACATTTCCACCTAAATGACAACCATTCACTTCAGAAGAATCGAAGAGTATGTTGACGACAGCGTCGAGATCACATTTTTCGATCGTTTCTACAATTGGGAGATTGCGGCTGGTTCATATATAGTGCGGAACACAAAGTGGGCAGTAAATTTTCTAAAAGGTTCTGGACGATTACTGTTTCTCCTTGTTTATACGTATTTAATAGATATAAAAGGCATTTCCTGTATGATTCAGGCTTTGCTGACTACGAATACAGATTACCTGCACGTTACCATGGCACGGACAATGGAGCTCTTCATGTAATTTTGATTCCATACAGAAGTGGTGCATTCTCGTACTGAAATGGGCGGGGTTGGGAAGGCTGAAACGGCGAGCCCAGCCGTCATAGGTTTTGTGCATCAAGGAAGATTCATACATGTCAAGAAATTGTAGCATACTGATCTTATGATTTCGAAATTATGTTTTTAGGCGTACCTTGCTGAAGTATTGTTTGGAGAAGAAAGGAAGAGCGAGTTGGCATTCTGCCTTCACATCTATTATAATTTAAAAAGCTTCGAAGATCTATTCACATTCGAAGCTTGTATTCGTGCAATGCTTGGATTGTATCCGGTCCATGGAAAAATAAAAATATTCAAGAAAGTAAGTGCATTTCGTTGAATGGGGTTGTCTAGAGTGAAGGTGGTCAGTTCCATAGGGCATGGGGTAGCCTTACAGCCATATACTAGTTACACAGCAGAATGCCCTTATAGCGCGGTAGTACGCCCTTCAACTGTTACAGAACAAATCTTATATTGGTGGTATCCTTGCTGTTCCCCTCCAGAATCTCTGACTTTTACGCCTTTCTTACTAACTCTTACTTTCCTAGCTCAACGGTCTCCTCCTCTCTTCAGAACCTTCTTGTAGTTACTCTGAACTTTGAACTTCCCTTTCGTGGGTTTCTAAAGGATTGTTAGATTAAAGGCACAGTTCACAAAAAAGTGGTTTCAGAGATTTGCACATTTTTTGAATTCGAAGCCTCCTCTGATACCATCTGTGCAGGAATGAGGTCGGAAAACGGTCTGGATAGGCACAATAAGGGCAGGAACAGTGGGGGACGTCAGGCCTCCGCCCCTCGCTAAGTTGCCTACGAGTTCAAATTGTCCTTCACCACTTTCGCATTGGAGCAACATTAGTGAAAAATCGATAGGCTGTTTGGCAATTTGCCCACAGACGGTCAGCTGGTCGACCGCCTCGTATTGGGGCTACTATTCGGGTGTTTCTCTAGTATTCGACTATATTCTACGCTTTTCTATTCTAATTAATTTTTCTCAGCCGTCGTCAAAAGGTCGAAATTGATACTGCATAATAAATCAGAATAATAGCGGTAGGAGAATTAGTTTTAATGAATAAGCCAAAATCAGCTGTTGGTGTGTTGTGTGCAATGGCAGACACTGCGCCGCGTTTGTCT